CCCACTGGGCCCAAACGGACAGGATATTCACCAACAAGAAGAGCAATGAAACAGCTGTCAGGTAGCAGGAGGACAAGGAAAAGTAGAAGGTCTGGAAAAGTAGGAGTAGACTGAAGAAGTTAAAGAACTGGAGTTGAAGGGCAAAGCTGTTAAAGACAAAAAATGTGGGAAGATAATGAGGACTGAAGTTGTGCACTTCATCCCAAGAATTCAATGAAATATAAAAACCACCAAAGACTTATGAACAAAAAAAAAGGAGTCCAATGAAGACAGTGTACACAAGAAGGAGGAAGATGTACAGTAATGAGGAGTGCATCTAGACCGAACAAGTCCCAACAGTAGAGGAGCCAAATAAGAAGGGACAGAAGAGAAAAAGATGAGAAACAGACAAATGTGGTAAAGAGAAAGGAATGAGCCTTTCCAGAGAACTCCACTGGAGCTTGATGAAGTTCCACTGACAAAAGATGGAGGGAGGAGAGGTAACATAGAGGGTGGTAAGAAAAAGATAAAGACGTGTAAATGGGGAACTAGAGAACAAAACAGAAAGTAAAGAAAAAGAGACTCCAAAGAAAAAAAAAAAGAGGAAAAGACTGGACTTCACATTATTTTTATGAGATAATCCAAAAGAATTCATCCAAAGATAACAACACTGGCATCAGGTGCATGATTACTTTAGTGAAAATAAAATTGACTAAACTTCAAGATGATAAAATGAGCATATAGAGAGATTGAAAATTTGCTGAAGATGATGAAAAAGTAGAAAAAAAAATAGACAAAAAGTTAAAAGAAGATAAAGAAGAAAGAGAAACAAAATTAAAAGAAGATAGAGAAACAAAATTAAAAGAAGACCAAGAAGAAATTAATTATATAAAATTAAAAGAACAAGAAAAGGAGATAATATTACAATGAGACTTAAAAGAACATTAATCTTGAGTCCAGAACTAATGTTCTATTTCATTACTACTTTTCTACTTAGCAGCATTTAATAGAAAAGTAGTATAAACAAGTTAAATTAAATGTTTTTTTTTGTCTTTTAACTTGACCTCAGTAAAGAGCATAATTGTTTATTTTCAAATGATTTCATAGAATAGGTTTTTTATTTTTTATATAGATATAATGCAGTATTAATTTCCTTGATCATTTGCCTCTGAAATGTCATCTTTCAGTAGAATTGTTGTGGACTTCTTTTCATGTCAGAGAACTTTTCCCAATTAAATTGCTCTTGTAGTTTAGAAAAATTCTCTTACTTTTATGTCATGATAATGGAAGAAAGCTGCATTTTAACTGTTAATAATATTTAAAAATACAACTAGGTTTACAGAGGACACAATTTAAGTTTTCAAACTGCATGTGCACAAAGATGCTTCTCATGTAAAATTTCTGTTATATTTCAATTATAATGGGAAGAGCTCTGCCCAAGATGCTCTTTTTGGATATTTTAATGTTTTTTTTAAATTAATTTAA